ACTCTGTCTCAAAAAAAAAAAAAAGTCAATTAATCCAATAAAAAAAGATAATAGTAGTAAGACATACATCTAAACATATCAATATTTACATTAAATGCAAATGGTGTAAACAGCAATGAGAGATATTTGAGATAGTAAAATAAGGCTCAAATATATGCTGTCTATAAAACACCCATTATAAATATAAGTTGGTTAGAGACAAAAGGATGAAAAAAACCCCACAAAAACACTAATTAAATTAAAACCAATCAAAAACCCCAGAAGAATTTTTTTCTTTTGTAGAGACAGAGAAAGGTGCAAATTCAATTCAAGGAAGAAAGGAGAATCTTTGTAGTAATAGTGTGAGGACAATTTGACATCCATACCCAAAAACAAAACTATAGAACTCACAATAGAAAACATGAGAAAATCTTTGTGACCTGGCATTAGGCAAAGAGTTCTTAGATGTGATACCAAAAATATAATTCATAGAAGAAAAAAATTGGATTTGGATTTCATAAAAATAAAAAAGTTTCACTCTGGAAAAGACACTTGTAAAAGACAAGCAATTAACTGTGAGACAGTGTTTACAAATTGCATATTTGACAGAAGTTGTGTCCCTAGAATATAAAAAGAACTTTCAAAACTCAACAATAAGAAAACAACTCAATCCTAACCCTATGTAGAAAAACACACTCACACACAAACCTGTATATGACTGTTTATAGCAGCTCTATTTATAGATGCCCCAAACTGGAAACAACCCAAACAAACTATGGTACATCCTTACAATGAAATATTAGCAACAAAAAGAATGAACTATTGATATACACAGCAACTAGGATGGTTCCCAAAGGCATTACACTAAGCGAAATAGGCCAATATCAACTTTTTAAATTAAAAACTATTTAAAAAACTGATATTTATAAGTCACATTTATCCAGCAATCTTTGTTAGTCAAAAATATTAACAAAACTTTATGGGGCAGAATATTCATATCATCTTATAATAGCAAAAGTCTAGAAACAAAGAACATATCCAAAAAATAGAATATCTGTTAAATTATTATGCATCTTATGAGAATATTAGGCAAAAATGACAATAATATGCATGAGGAAATGCTTATGATATAATGGTAGGTTCAAAAAAATTAAACAGAAAATGATATCTCAGCTATATAAAATACAGTTATGTATAAGTATGTGTATGTGTTTTAAAAGTAATTTATGTTAAAGATGAGTGGAATCCAAAAATATTTGTGCAAATATTAACAGTAGCTGTCCCTGGGAGACAGATGATACTGATTGTCTTTACACTTTTCTGTGTTGTTTAGAGTTCCCCAAAGAACACAGGATATTTCCATCATATCATTCTTGGAACACTTTAGACACCCAAGTGTTATTAAATAAATACGGAATGAATGTCCCCAAGCAGAATTAATGGCTTCCTCATCCATGCTGCCAGAACACTTGGCATTTATTGTCAGTTAAATCATCTATACAGTAAATACCTATTGAGCATTTACTATGACTGACACTTTACAAGGCATTGCTAGTATACAGGTTATCCCACCAAATTATGGCTAGTCGTATTCACATCTATGTATGTATGCAACTAGATTGTGTTCTCCTTGGATTTGGAACTGAGTCTCATTCATCTTTCCACTGCCAGGGCCCAATACAAGCTGTAACATAGCAGACATTCAGTAAATGCTTGTGAGACTGAATTCTTGAAAATTCCTAAAAATGCCTATTTGGGGATGTTAATGGTTCCTAATATCTTATTCTAGAATAGAATAATTAAATGTTACTCTCCCGGCACATTTATACCATTACTTTCGTTTACTCCATGAGCCACATAAACTTCAGCTCTAAACACTCAAAATACCACATTATTATGTTCTTAGCAAGGGATAATTTAACTTTGGGATTTACAAAGACATTCTGAAGTCTTCTTTATAAGAAAAAAGAAATTGTGAACTAAGTGTTTCTTTTTCAAGCTCTGGACAATCTCAAGTACTTCATGGCAGGAAAAATTTTGAATACTATACCATTGGGGGAGTTATTTATTCTTGACCTTAACTACAAATAATTTTATGTTCTCAAGTATAGAATTCACAATTTTATCTCAGCTAGTATAAACTGTAGGTGTTTTTCTTATTTATAAAAATGTCTTATCCTTTATAAAAATCCCTAAGCTATTTTTATATAGTGATTATTCCTGAAAACATTTGCTTTATACTTAAAAGGGGGGCCATGGTGTTGATCAGGGGAAAACTGTAATTGCTTGCCATCCACCTGCAATGATTTCAAGTAGGCAGGCACATCTCCAATTTCTGTGAATTGTACTAAGATCTTATTTGCTGTTATTGCTAATCTGTCTTTATTTTTCCTTTACCCAGAACAATAACATTTATTTCTGCCTGGCCTCATTTATGCACAGATATTCAATTTAATTACAAAGATAATCTCACCAGTGACAGGGAAGTAGGTATAGAAAATTGGTCTTCTGGATGAGGCACAGCTGCTACAGAAACAATTTTAGAAAAGCTATTATATAAAAAGAATGCTTACTGTTTATTTACTTCAAGAAAATGATAAAGATTAAATGTGACCATTCCACTAGGTAATATTCCTTCCACAGGATTCCACCGGTTCCCAGGAAAGTTGACACCTGGCAAGTGCTTTGCCATCTTGGGTAAATACCACTCGTAAGTCATCATCTGCCAGAAAAGTCACACATAATATCAGCCTTTTAACATATTTCTTAATAAGAATCAAGTTTATCAAGTAATGGCAAAAACCTCAATTACTTTTGCACCAACCTAATATGTACATAACTGAAAATATAAGCACAACTGAAGATGTGGCACTGATTCTTTTAGTGATGTAAACCTTAGATTTTATTATGACGATCATCAGTCACATTAGTACCTTCTTCCAATTTACCTCCCGTTTTTGACTCCCCAGAAGGACCTTCCCCTATTCTTATACCTGAAGCAGGGGTCCCCAAACTGGGCCGCACATCAGGAGCTAGCTTTACTACCTGTGCTCCACCTCCTATCAGATCAGTGGTACCATTTGATTTTCACAGGAGCGTGAACCCAGGACCTAGGTTGCATGTTCCTTATGAGAATCTAATGCCTGATGATCTGAGGTGGAACAGTTTCATCCCAAGACGATTTCCCACCCCCACCCGCACCCCCAATCACCAGTCTGTGGAAATATTGTCCTTCATGAAACTAGTCCCTGTGTGTAAAAAAGGTTGGGGACCAGGTGGGTGTGGGGGCTCACGCCTGAAATACCAGCACTTTGGGAGGCCGAGGCAGGTAGATTACCTGAGGTCGGGAGTTCGAGACCAGCCTGACCAACAGGGAGAAACCCTGTATCTACTAAAAATACAAAATTAGCTGGGTGTGGTGGCCAGCTACTGGGGAGGCTGAGGCAGGAGAATCACTTAAACCCAGGAGGCGAAGGGCACTGTAAGCCGAGATTGCACCATTGCACTCCAGTCAGTCTGGGTAACAAGAGCGAAACTCCATCTCCGAAAAAAAAAAGAAGAAGTACATATGAGAATGCTTTCCTCAT